TCGAGCTGTGGGCTCACAGCTGGGGCCTTCTTGTGGTGTCGCACATCTGTTCTCCAGGACCGTGTTGCAGATCTCACCTCCAGGTCAACATGAACAAGACGCCTGCATCCACCAACAGTCGTGTGGGAAAAAATTCCGAGACCTCTCTCTGCTCGCGCCCAGAATCATCTGTCTCCTGATATGGAGCGTGCAAATCTCGGCACACAGGCACGGTACACCGCGGCCTCTCTTGACGTCAGGGCTTCTTTGGCATACTGATCGCTTTCAGAGGACTTGTCGACCGTCCGAGCCTCCGCTCATCACAATCAAGTGGACATGCGAAAGCAGATGACGCAGTCACCCAACACATCCCTGCAACCTCTGTGAACGTGCAACGACGGGCTCCTGCGACCCATTCATAAACTTGAGACTGCTGCGCCTGTTCGAACGATCAGAGTTCGCCAGCCGACCCCCATTGCTGGCCTCCGTAGCTGCTTTTCACCGATGCTACACTTTAAATCTCTTGGTGTGTCTTTGCTCAGGCCCCAAGCCTTAAGCCTTAAGCTGCTTTTGTCCAAGGCCGCGGAAATGACCAAATGATCGCAAATGCTTTTGCGGATGCCTGCAGAAGTGTTTGCGATCGTTTGGTGGCAGTCCCACCAGAGATGCCTGTTTGTTCCAAACTTTCCCCAAAAAGAGGAAGGTTCCGGTTCTGAATGATGCGCCTGTGGCCTTGAGAAGGAGTACAAGAAAATCATCAGCTGCCTTGACTCCAGATCCACGCTCGGAATTTCTCTTTTAAACGAATCTCAGGATGCGCCCATCCCTCTTTAGGCTGCCGCAGAAGCGTTCGCCGGTCACGATCTTGGCCGATCAAGGCCGCATGGCGCAACTCTCGCTCCGTAGGTGCCGCGAAGCGCATCGTGCGCGCACTCTAGGTCGAAAACATCTTGATGTTTTCGACCTAGAGTGCGCACACGACTCACTTCGCGGCACCTATGGGGCGAGAGGTGGGAACCTGGGAACACACAGTGTGAGGCGTCTTTACCAGAGTCCTGGCCCTTCCGTCTCAGGACTATTCGAAACTCCCAATCAGTGGGAGTGGAAAAGCAGGTGCCAGATAATAGAGTTTGGTGCCGTGGATGCAGGGGGCCAAGCTGGCCCAGCTCTTAGAGTCCGTGGCAAGAGTCCTGGCGCTTTCCTCTCAGGACTGTTCGAAACTCCCAAGAAACCGTAGCTCGCTGTAGAGCCAGACTGCGACGACTGAGATGCTGCTGACCAAAGTTTGGAGCCGCCGCTTCTGGGCCAAATGCTCCACAAAGTTAGCCTTGTCAACAGAGGTAAACCTGATGTCCAGCTGCCGAACCAGGTCCCAACTACACATCCAAGCCATGGCACCGTGGAAAAAAGGCTTCACATGACGATTCAAGGCTCAAGCCGTAGGCAACTAGCAACTCCTGCTATTTGCTGGCGACAGCTACACGTGGTGACGGCTCTTTAAATTGTGTCGATGTCCCTTCCCTTCCAGGCCATGTGCTGTGTCGGACCTCGTCCGGACCCCCCTTGACTGAGCCGTTCATTGCACAGGCATCCCGCGAAGCAAGGATTTGTTCCTCAACATTGAAGATCAGAGCAGGCCTGGCTGTTGCGTGCTGCAGATGCTGCAGGATTGCCTCCTTGGCGTCCAGTCCCCGTCTCTGGCGGAGCCATGAACTATGAACCTCCGCAAAGGAAGTCACACAAAACAAGGGTAAGCAAGATTCCCGAGGCATGAGCCGCCTCCCGCAGCCACAGCAGGGGCTAAAGAAGAATTGGGCTGCGAGGTGCACTTTCAAATTCTTGAAAACAAGCACCGGTGCACTCGCACTATGCGGACTGACAAGCATTGGCCACATGCTTCTTTTCGCAGGGGTTCAGAAAAGCAATATGAGAATCTCAGTGCCGGCCGTCGTTGCGCAGGTCTCCAGCCCGTTTGGTGGCTCATGAGGACTGGGATCTACGGTGCGGGGAGAGACCAACGCAAGGGCCCCACCAACCTATTCCAGCTAAAAGTCAAGGAACTCATGGAGGCTCATCTTACCTTCAGAGCTGGATCTCATTCTGTCCAAGCAGCTGAAACTTTGCCCATGGCTCAGCACTGGCCTTGGGACCTCAGGTGATGGTGACGGCGATGGTCATGACATGTCATGGTATGATGCTAACTTGTAGGGCGATCCTTGCAATCCGTGCACCTTGGCGGCTTTCGCCTTCCACGTTCTTGGAGCGGTTTCGGGCATCCTTGCCCTTGCCAGGATTGCCTCAACATTGCTTATAGGCAAAATTTACCACAAAGCTGGGATGACGGCCCGCACTCTGCTTGCTTTTGCCCTTCGAAGGGCCTAGTTGCCGCAGGAGCCATAGCTGTGATAGCTGTAATGGCAATGGCCCTAACATGCCTTGACTTCCAGACAAGGGCACCTTTGTAGCCATTGCCCTGGCCCCATCCACTGCCCCAAAAATAGTATCCTGAAGCAGCAGGTAGGTGGGCTGCAGCAGGAGTCGAATATTGCTAGCTGTCCTGGGTAGTAGTTCCAATCCCAGTCATCACCTTCGCAGCAGTTTTCAGATGTGTCTACACCCCGGCCTGCTCAAAGCTTCAGCCTTCGCCACTACCATACCAGCCTCAGGCCATGCACGAGTCACCAAACAACCTTGCGCCCATGCTGTGGCCCCCGACCCTCATTGCCCCACCAGTCGCCGCCTGCGCACAAAGCAGGCTTGGACAAACCGAAAGACCCATTCCAACCCGTTCCCAGCCTCCGCGGTTCTTTCTGACAGTGCCGTGGCTGCCCTTTTTTCCTTGGCTCAGGTGAGACACGCTCTCATGGCATAGCTGCCAACACCACTAAGTATGATCACGTGCTCACCTGCATGCAAGGGGCCAACACCAGCCCCTCGCTCGCGGCAGAACATCTCAGCCTGAACATCGATGCTCTGCCAATCTTGAATTTCCCACACGGGCTCCACACCTCCACTTCCGACACTGCTCGGGCCATTGGCAACGCGACGGTCGGAACGGG